AAATTTATGATGATTAATTATACTATGCAATGCATTTCTAGGTGCGTAAATTAAGAATCTCTAAAAACAGTGTAATTGTCAAAAGACTTGAAAAGACCAGAGAAGTGGATCCACAACCTGATCTAAGAAACCAGCGCGAAGAGAGAGACAGAAATGAGAGAGAGGGAAAGAAGAAGCAACAAAGAGAAGAGATGACTAAACGAAAGGAAGAAGAACGGCGGCGCAAAGAGGAGGCAGAAATGAAGTAAGAATTTCAAGTTTTGATACAACTACCATAATGAATAATTTCTTTATAAAAATTTAAAAAATAAAAAAAACAATGACCTTGTTTCCAGGAGCTACTCAACCCTCATGAAATCAGAAAATATGAAAAGCAATCAAGGTGGAGATGGCAGCGACTCAGATGATTTTATGTGATCCGTAGTACTGTCTACATTTGTTAATAACTTATACAATAAATCATTTTCATGTTATTTCTCCTTGTAATCAATTTGTGAGTTTGGGTACCTCAAATATGTATTCGTCACAACAGCTGTGATAAATTTATTATTTTCATATTTCATACAAAAGAAGTGTCATTGCTTTGTTCAGACTTTAGCACTTTTTTTTTAACCCACGTTAAAACTACGTGTATTTCTTCAAAGGACATCACTTACATGCTCTATTTCCGTTTCTTTGCTGGTGCAGTTTGTACATTGGTGGTTCCATAAGTTTTCTGAGAAATACCATTGACAAAGTAAAGGCCCAAACATGAAAAGGCAAACCTGGAAAGAAATACTTTAATATCGCAGAAAAAAGATTGTAAGTTTGAAATAAGACAGAGCAATAGACTTACCCAGTGGTGACGCATACTCTATGCACGGATCCTGCTGCAGTCAGTGCCATGATGAAACAGATAAATACTAAAACGTAAAATATGAAGGAAAAATAAATTAGAGGAGCAGGTAACTGTAAAGTAAAGTTGAAATAAGAATGTAAAAAGTCACAGGACTTGATGAGCAAAGTCCTAAAATATCCATGTCTAAGAATTTTAACTGACTTAAGATCTGTCAAAACTATAAACTTACTCTCTGGGAAGAGCTTGACTTGGAAATGCTTTCCAAACATTATGCTTTCAAGATTTCCGATAGACTGTGGAAGGTTAAGGAAAAATATGTATCTGAATGTAACGCAGCAACTAGAGTATTCCGTTCAAATAAATTGAGTGATTAAACATTAAATAAATACTTATAAAGACATACTATGATGATCAATACAACAATATTAAAGTAAAAAGGATACAGTCAATATCAGCAGAAATAGAACTGAAGATATGTATCCTCCAAACACAGTGTGCAGTTGAGTTGAAGTAAACCAGCTTTTGTACATCTGCATGCCGGAAAATACGACAACAGAAAGAAGGAGTGAGAGCACGAAGGATGCTCCTGTCGAAACGGCTATAACAGAAAATTAAAGACAAAATATAGCCATAGTTGTCGAGAACTGAAAGAGAAGTTGCGATTCCGAAGCTCACCCATTTTCTCTACGATTATGAGGCACAAGAGACAAGGCCAGCCGATACTGATTTGTTGAGTATCTGAGTATTGTTCAGTGGGAGCCGGTTTTGTCAAACTTTTTTGAAGGTTAGGTTACACGTCAATATATCAACAACCGGAGGATGGGCGGTGGTGGTGGGGTGGATTGCCTTTTTTTTTTTTTTTTTTTCCTCTTGAAGTGTCTTGCCCAGGCCATAGAAGGCCTATGCTTGGCAGAAAGCGTGACGCAGGCCGACGGTGGAGGAAAAGGCCACCGGCGGCAGGCGGTGGGCCGGGGCGCGCGAAAGTCAAACGCGCCCCCGACCTGCGGAGCGGGCCACTGGTGGATTGCCTACCATCCAAGGGGCCGGGGTCCAAAGCAGAAACTCAAATCTCCCGCCTCGTGCTCAACTCCAATCAGGTTGTCCGTCAAGTTTTTATTGTTGGTTAAAGACTGAAAGTCTCACCCAATTAACACCAAAAACGCACCAAACCAATTTTTTTTTTCCAAATAAAAATTATTATAGGAAAGAGCCAGTGATTTTGAAGTGGAATAAAGGCTGGGTTTGCGTGTGAAGGGTGGCAAAACTGCACACTGACTGACGTGTCAGGAAAGAGAGAAGAAAACGAATAAGAAGAACCGGTGTGTTGTGCCTTCGTGTCGGTTGAGCTCTCTTCTGCTACGGCTTTGGCTTGTCCTCTTGGTGCAGCTACGTCCGTCGTACCAGCAGCAAACATCAAGTCTTTCCTTGGAAGCAGATCGTTAAAATGGAGAAGCTATTCTGTTTATTAGCTGTGCTATCTTTGGCTGGCCTTTCTGCAGCCAGTTCGGCTTGCACCAAGCCCGAGGTTTCCGCCCAGTCTTACACCACTCCAGATGCCACTATTCTAACCAACATTGGCTTCGTGGCAGAGTTTACCCTTACGTGCGGCAATGGAATCCAAAACCCTCCTCTGTTCGCGGAGCTGGGTGGGAAAACTCAACCCGTGGCTCGTATCGGCGCAAACAAGTACCAGGTAAGACTTTAAAGGTTAACTTCTCATCAAAGTGGTTGTCGCTTCAACACCGTAGCTCAATAGTCATGTACACCAAGAATTTATTTCCCTTTATACTTCTGATTTAAAATGAAGTTCCTTTTTGCCAGTCTCCTACCCCATTGAATCAGTTTCATAAAGAAATAAATATGAGACATTTCCCACTCCAAGCCGTGAACTTTACCGTAGGATATAGCGCTCTCCTCACATATTGTGATTTCACGGTGTCCTTTACTCACCCAGTGCAGTTATTTGAAACTCTGTGAGGGATCATTGGGCATGGGGCTACAGAGTAATCCATAAATTTAGTTTTCAATCTTACTTTGGATGGCTGTTACTGTGTATATCCATATGTCTTGTTTCAACTAATGACCAATCAAGATCCATTTTTCTTATCCATCGAACCAAAATTGTTTGCTGGTTTCCTTTCAAAAATAGTTACTGTTCATCACTTTCAATTTCCACTTTTTATTGCAGGTGAGCTGGGTTGAGGATGTCAAGAAAGCTCGACGAGGAGATTACACCATCAACATTTATGACGAAGAAAACTATGCAGCTCTCCGTAAAGCAATCAGGAACAATGAAGACATCTCCACTGTGAAGCCTCTGGCTGCTGTTGTCTTAAACTACCCTGGAGCATACCAGGGCCCCTGGGTTAACTCTGAATTCATGGCCTTTGCTCTATCCATTGCTGTATGGTATGCCGCCTTCTCTGCCAAATCTAAACTTTTGGCTTAAGCTCCCTCCTACATTTGTTGTTTTTCTGTGAAAAATAACTTGACTGTTTTTTATAAATCCATTATTTAATAAATTTGACTGTTTTCTACATGTGTTTACTCTTTAAGCCTCCTTCTTCATTACACAAGGGTACAGCCCTCTATGTCAACTGTATCCTCTGTATCCTCTTGATAAAAACACGATTTTAAGCATGTGATCTGTTGCCACGACTATACAATGTCAAAGGAAATGAGACCTCATTAGCAGTGAACTCACCTTCGTGTCAAAGTAACAGCCTTAAGCTACTTATGGCTGACATTTTGTTGATGTTGTTATATGATGTTTCAATGAAAAGGTTTGATTCATTCAACTATTTGTGTTGACTTCCACAGCCTGTTTATTATACAAAGGTTACCTAAATTACAAACTTCTTTCATCAAATACCTCTCCCATATGAGTTGTTAACATTCTGAAAGGGGACTAAGGCTCAGTTCCAAAGACAGTACTGTGCTGCTATTTTGAAGGTTCAGGCTCAGCTCAAGAATGTATAAATAAGAAAAGATCAAACTCTTCAAATAAATACCTAATGGGTTGGACGTTGGATTTGTGGAACAAGGGGGTCGCAAGAGGGAAGACCTCAAAAATCCCGCTCGCTAACCTCCGCACCCCCTCCCCTCCCGCACTTTTCCCCTTTCCCCCGCCCCTAGTCTCGTCGAGGGTATCGAAGACAACAAAGGCAGTGTTAGTGTTTACTACAGACGACGCGACGCGCCCCCAATATTGTGCTTTTTGGTTAGGAGCCGCGTTGTACACTGCCGAGCGGTTTCTGTCACTGTCAGCCACAATCCGAAGCGGACCACATAACTCCACCGAACGGACTCGCATTCAATCCACGTCCATCATGGGGGTGGATCTCCTGCGCGGCAGCGGCGGTCGGAGCCACTTCTTGGTCGCCACCTTCGCCATCCTGTCACTATTCCTGCTCTTTAACTGGTGGTCTCTGTCCACCGACAACCTGGACCTTCTCAAGCAGATTGAAGGCCTGACGCAGCACCTCAAATCCAGGTCCGTTTCTTGGTGCCCCAGTGGCAAGGTATATGCAAATTCCACACGAGTGTGATTGTTTTTGTGTGACAGTTTGTTGACATTCAGATAGGTTCTAGAGTACTTTGCAAAGCTTACAGAAGTGAAGCAGCTAACATGATCATTAAACATGTACATACTTACTTTTGTCCCTCGACTCAATATAATTGGTTTCTTTTGCAGTTCAAGTCTGCTTGATCAGTGCCGACATGACCGAGGGACTTTCGAAGGCAGAGTGAAAAGATTAGAGGACGACACTGAGAAGCTAGTTCAAAAGTTGGACTCGGAAAAACAACAGGAAGAAAGATTGGAGAGTAATCTCAAGGAAAAAAATAAGGAAGCCCTAGACTCTGAAAAAAAGTTCAATGATGCAACTTCTTCCTTAAAAATGTGCAAAACCGAGTTGGTTAGTTTTTCCGGCTGTTTTTCTTTCATGTCTACCTTCAAAGTTTTAAACAGAATACTTGCCTGGTGGCCGCATTTGCATTTTTTAATAAAAAGAGCCACGAGAAAAGTCCTCAGATAAAAAGTAATCAATATTTTATGTCAATATAGGAGTCTTTGAAGAAAGTGGACCTATCTAAAGATGGTGTGATTGCATCAATGCGGATCGAGAAGTCAGGCCTCAACAGCCAAATACAGGAGCTGAAGGAGCAAGTTAAGAAACTCAATGATGAAATCAATCAATTTAAACAGGTAAAGACGAGGCTTTCAATACCGTTTCAGTTTTAAGAACTTAAACTTATTCACTATTTGCCCACAGGAAAAATTAGAACAAGGATCTCAAAAGAAACCATCAAGCAGTACAGGTTAGCACTTACTCTTTCCCATGTAAAATTTTACGTTTTCTTTTTCATTCCCTGCCCCCTCCTTAATTTGTGACTTTTTCTTATAGCTTCAGTACCTTCAAAAGTAGAAAATGACGTCCTAGCTGAAAATGAAGTAAGAAACATAGCAGAACCATTCCATGCTGATGTGAAAGAGTCAGAACGCAAAGAAGACCATTTATTAGAAAAGGAAGAACAGCCTGCTGTTGGTAAGGCTCAATTTGACCATACTAAATCAAATAACAAATTTTTCCCTCTCAAAATAATTTTCAAAATGTGTTTTTTTTTTGTTTTTTTTTTTAATAGATGAGCGAGAATTGGAAATGCAGGACAATGGTGATGAACGAAGAGGGTCAATAGTGTGATAAAAATGGTAATGATTTTCTTTATGAAGTTATCTTTTTGACTTGCCATGGTCCAGAAATCTGGTATAGATTATTGTTCATTTCTTTTTTTTTCTTTTCTTTTTTTTTTTTTTAAGATCCATACTTTTGTATAATTTTGCTCACACACACAATAAGGAAGGGAACTTATAAATTGAGTCAATGAGTTATGTAGATGATCCTGTGTCAATGTAGGTCCCCATATAGAACATAAAATTTAATTCTCAAACAACAAAACCTCTGAAAATAGCTTTATTTTCTCCAGACTGAGCATTACGATCAATTCGGATCTTCTTATCAAGATGTATTACATAGGTATATGAACTTACTAATCAGACTTTCATTATTTTTGGTGTCTTTTTTTTTTTTCCAAGTTGCATGGTCCACTCATCCAAGCAATGTATCATGTATCTGTTCCATAATTCATCTTGCTGCTTCTTTTACAAAAAAAGAAAACAAAACAAAAACACCACAGTTTCTGTCACAGTTGTGATTCGTGAAATAAAATTTCTCTTGTCTTCATCGGTGAAAGTTCTAGATATTGAACTTATTTTGTATATCTATATGTAACGTACCTTCTCATTGGTAACTTTAATATGAAGGTTTAATTGTTAGTTAAAAGTGTCTTTAAAATGTTTTGACATTATGAGTCAATGGCCTTCCAGAGATCTCTCCCTTTGCTCACTACACTCTTTAATCAACAGTGGCCACAAGGCTTTTCGGAGTTGCAATTTTGCTAATTTACTGTTTGGTAATAATATTTTGTAGCAGCTGCACTTTATGCCTACAAAAACAATGTTGAACTGCTTACTTAATGTAAAATCTACTTTAGCAAAAAAAAATAAATACAATTGTGTTCTCTGTGGAAGGTGGAAAATCAACTTCTGTAACATGTGATGAAAGTATTTTAGTTTTTAGGGGTAATAATTATTGGTTGTTATTGTAATTTTCTATGCTGAAATTTTATTGTACTACTTGTTTGTAATGTTTCTTACTATAGAAATATGTATATGTTTGCTGTTGTACCTTTTTTTTTATGGGGAGTTAAAAAAAAGAAAACCATAAAAGTTAACTGTTGAAACTGTAAGTATTTTTTCTAGTGTTCCTCTTTTGATGGCCAAGTTAAGTAGTTAGAACTAGCGTAAGACTTTTTCTGTCTGAAATACATCAACTTCATTTGTCAATCTTTATAGATCAGTTTTTCTCGCCACGACACAATAATCTTCGGGTTGGCGCCGCGCACTTCACTCGTAAGGTGCCATGGCCCCTGAATGCAAACCTAAATATCAAGTGAAGACTAAGGAAAGGTAGGCTTCACAAAACTTTGGCTTCAGTTTAGCTCCGCTTTATACTCATTTAATTTAAATTAAAAGTGGAGACCAACTGAAGCTAACTGAGGACTGCACCATGACTGCACCCTTTACACCCTTCGCGCCTGCCATGCGATGGGTAGGCCAACCCGCACTACACGGGCGTGGAGCGTTTGGCCCACCCTCCTTTGCGTCCGCGCCTAGTTTGAATTCCTCATATTGTCTCGAGATAGCCTCGCTGCCGGTATCCCATCTGTAAGCAGCGGTGGCGCTTTACGCAATACGCAACCAAGAAGAAGGCGCAGGCCAAACTTTTGTTATGTTGTGGTGTTATTGCAACGGTTGCAAGTAGTTTGTTGAGATTTCGTGGAAACGGTTATCATTTAATTTAATTCAGACGTAAACAGAGCCATGTCTGTCGAGGAGGACACCGAGCTTCGAGATCTTGTCTCCAAAACTCTAGAAAATAATGGAGTGTTGGCAAAAATTCGGGTGAGGATTGTGGCAACTTGGCACTTTATTTAAAGGCTAAAATCATGGTTCACTTACCGGCGTTTCTACCTATTTTCGTGTGAACGCTGTGCAATTGGAAGCTGCACTTTTATGAAGTTTCAAAATTAAGTGCCAAGGTTTTTGACCCCAAATTTGATGGAAATTCCTTGTTGTTATTTAAGTTTCTTTATGTGTTCATTGAGGATGCTGGATTTGTCAGTTGACTTTATTAATTTACTTAATGTTCCCCTGTCTCCAGGCTGAGCTTAGAGCTAGTGTTTTCCTTGCATTGGAGGAACAAGAGTCAAATTCGGTGAGTTCAAATTTAACAAATTCTGTAAAATTTTCGTGCAGTCTAATTATTATTGTTTTTCTCTTCCTTTCAGACACCGTTTGAAAACAAAGCTCTTAAGGAGTATCTGAAAAGTCCTCAAGCTGCCCTTGGATTGTGTATTGTAAGGGAGTTCCTAGAATACCTTGAATTGGATTTTTCCCTCTCTGTCTACAACACTGAAACTAGTCATGGCAAGGGATATGAATATAGTGGCCGCAGTAAACTGATCAAAGAATTACAGCTCAAAAACCTCGGTGGTATGCATACATAAGTCATATACTATTATCTTGATCCAAATTAAAATTGTTACATTCTCTCTTATCTGTCACCTATATGTTTGGCTATCAATGCCTATTGATGCTATTTTTAAAACTTTGGCAGGAAAGAAAGGGCCTCTTTTATCTCATATACTTCAAATTGCTCAGGAATCTAATGGAATTGCTCAAGACAACAAAGAGGTAGGTTAGAAATAGAATCCTCAGTTGATCATACCAAACTGTGCCTTTTAATATCAATGAGTGTGTTTTGCAGGAAACTTCAAAACTAGGGCCTTCTGAATCAAATTCGTTTAACATCAGTCATGATTTTGGAACAGGCGTGGAAAGCCCCAATGGGTCTCTTGCACCCCTGGACAGAACATTCACTTCAGATGGTCCAACCATGAAAGTAACATTGTCATCATCATTGAATGATGATGACGGTAAAAGCCGTTCTGAGAAACCTGACAATATACACTCTCAATCTAGTGATGACATTAAAGCATCAGCAGCAGATAATGCCGACCCTAAGAACGCCAGTTCAATCAAAAATAATGATGCACCTACAGGGGACAGGTCAGTTAAATTCATATAAGTGCAAAATTATCAATTAAAATGAAATCAATTTGATTGGTTATTTTGCACTAGGCTTATTGTTGGTGCCTTCTAGGTTTACACAGTATCTACAAATTCCATTTATTTTCTAGGAAAAATGATCATGAAGGGGTTTTTCAGTTGAAGTCATCCAAAGTTGAATCAAAAAATTCTATGGCATCCCTAAATGACCTGCCTCCACTTGACAGCCTTCAAGGAAGAGGCAACATTGCAAGCAATATCAATTTTGCTGGATTAGGTAATTTCTCTTTCTTGTTTTGTCCTGCTTTTCTATTACCTGTATTTTATCTTGTATGGCTGAAGTATTCTTGAATGTTTGTTAAGGTTTACAAGATGATTATGAGGAGGATTTTGTTTCAACTGGGAGCAGTGCTGCTTTAGAAGAAAAAAGCAAAAGCCTTAGTCATAAATCTAACAAACAAGGTACTAGCCCACCAGAAAATCTATTTGCCAGGAAATCATCCAAAAGTGACTTGGAAATTTCTGACAAGAAAACTAATAGCCCAGCTGGTAGCATAAGTGAAGACTTGGATGACAATACCAATTCAGGCATTGATGATTTGCTTAACAGCACTGCCTCAACTGTAAGTCTTCAAAAAATTAAATGGTCTGTTTGCTACAGATTTACATGTGCTGTTAAAATATACTAATTCTTATTCCAGGAGAACACTACGGACAATACAATATCACATATCAGAAGCACATATGCTGACTACCTGGAAACTATATAGGGAAAAGAAGTACTGTACTGAAATATGAAGTTAAATGAGAATTTAAGGCTATTTTATTCAACTATGAATGTGTGTATTTATTTTTGACTGAGTGGAAAATGAAATTGTGGATAAAGTGCACAAGTTGATTCATTTACATAATCTTTTGCTCCTGATATTTTTTTAAAATGAAAATATGTCAGTAACATTCCAGAAGCCGGCAAGAAAATGATCCCTTATAAACATTTAGTAACAGCTTTGTTTCCAAACAAGATTAGGGCTTTAAAAGATATCCTTTTGGTGTAACAAGGTAATGACAATTTACATGTACGCACATTTCAGATCACGAAAGGCTAGGACATTCATAGAGTATCACTAAGTATTGAGAATGAGGAATGTAATCCACCAACATGATCTAAAATGAAAGACAACAAATTTGGCAAAACTAGAGTACTCTAAAGGGTTGAAAATGACTCCAGACAATTTTTATTGTCTCAATCTATTGAGGTATGCAGTCGATACCACGCTATGAGAATCCATGTATCGGTCCATGCACATTGCAACGCATTTCTGTGGACAGAGTAGGTCAGCAGTCATTACAATAACCCACTGAGTAAAACAAGTCGAATTTAAAGTGGCATACCTGTTCCGAATTATCTAAAGATGATCCAGGTTTTGATATGCATTTAGCAAAACACTTCTCCGTCATTTTCTGAAATAAAGGTGAGTCCTTATAAATTTGAGATCCGTTTCAAAACTGTCAAAAGCTTAACCACACGCGGCTGATTGCACGAAAAAGTGATCCAACATCAATCAATACAAAATAAAAATCTCAGCTATGAGAAAACCTCAACGTGAGAAAAAGGTTAGAGTACCTGTATAACAAGTTGAGCATTAGCAATAGCAAGTTGCTGTCTAATTTGATCCATAATTTCTTCGCTTTTAAGCCCCGACAATTGACTAGCTGAGAGGGAATCCATTGTCAAATCGAGGAGATTAAATCAAATCTTTTCAGTCAAAAACGCTAAATGAACACATGAACCGACTTCTGACGAAACAAAATGTGTTCGCAGCCGAGACCGACGTCCGGAGTGCAGCCGAGTAGATGGAGCCACCAGCGCACGCAAGCTCTATCATCGCGTTGTGCCGCGTTCCACGGGGTACCGGGGAATTCTAGTGTTTCATTGAAACGGTATTTGTTTTAGCAGCTCCCGTCTGTCTTCTGAAGAGCTGAAGGGCCTGTCATGTGATGTGACAACCGCCAGGGAACGACTGCGTGTACTTTCTGCACTACGTGTTAATGGGTTCTTCTTTGTCAAATCAAGACTCATTATCAGGATCGTAAACACAAGTACAAAAGAAACAATTTAGGAAACAATCATGAACCCAAGCCGGTCGAAAATACTGTCTCCCAGAAAGTCAGCAGAGCTGATTGCATCCGAATCTAAACATGTAACTATTCTGGAAAGTGGTGTGCAAAAGCTAGCCCAAAAGGTGAGTCACTAAGTCTGTTGACAAACATTAATGATCAAAACTAATTTTTATTTTCACTGCGGATCAACATCAAAATTAACCCTCTGACACCTCTCGTTTACAGATATATGAAAAGTTACAGGATAAGACGATCAGCATTGAAATGTTTTCACAACATGAATTACATCCACCGTCATCAGACCCATCAGCGGTGGACTGGATATTTGTTGTTGATACCCTGAACTTTTGTTTCTGGTCTCCTGACGGTGCTCATTATACTGTTTCATATAAAGGCAAAAAGTACACAGGATACTTTGCTCTGTGCGCAGCACTTAATCGGGCAAAGGTTTATATTCAAGTTCATGCAGGAATACCCAATGCGCTTGCAATAGGTTGTGCTCATCATCCTAAATTATATTATTTCAAATTTTGCAGGATGCTGGTAAAGCTGTCACTGACCCTAAGTTTTACTCGCAGATAACATCCAAAGAAGTGAAAGAATTGCTTCAGGGTGATGATGGTAGTGCACCTTTACCATTGATAGATGAGAGAGCTGAATGTTTACGTCAAGTAGGTGCCTGTCTCCTGGAAAAATATGAAGGTAAAGCCACGCGATCTCACATGGTTTCAGAATTTACACAATTTTCACATGTAAGCTGGTTTGTCTTTTCTGTTTTAGGGTCTTTTATTAACTGTCTGAAAGCTTCTCATGGATCTGCTGAAAGCCTATTAAACCTGATTGTCAATGAATTTCCTTGTTTTAGAGATGAAGCAATATTTAAGGAATTTCAAGGTAGAAGCACTGGTTTTGAGAGATTTTTGTTCTACTTTTTGATTCTTTTCTTTAAAAAAGTATTTATGTTATTTTACAGTTTCATTCTACAAGAGGGCGCAAATTTTAGTAGGAGACATATGGGCATGTTTCAAAGGGAAAGATTTAGGATTTTTCAGTGACATTGACCAGATAACAATGTTTGCAGATTACAGGTATCATTCAAACTATTTTCACTTTCAGTAAAACCATTTACAAAATACTATATTATAATTATTTTTAATTTCCCTTGATGTAGAGTACCTCAAGTTTTGGTCCATTTTGAAGTGATGCAGTATTCTCCTGCTTTATTAAATGTATTGGAGACAGGTATGTTAAGATTGTAGAAGTCAGAAGCCTCTTGGAGTTGAAACACTCACATACACTGTTGATCACCATAACTATGTCCACAGGTGGGATAATGGAAAGTGGTTGTCAAGAAGAAATTGAGATAAGGGGGTGTTCGATTCATGCAGTTGAGTTGCTTTCTTCAAGTGTCAAGGCTATCTTGTCTAAGGCCAACAGGACAGATCAGTTCATTGTAAATTCAATTATCATCGATCATTTCTTGTGGGATTTCCGGCGACAATATGCTCAAGAGTTGTCAAGCATTCCTTTTCACAAAGTGGTGTCGATATACTATTAACATGTCTCTGGTTTGGCTGAGTTTGAAGTTATGTGGAAAGGTTAAACTGGAGCTGAAAGAAATAATGTTTTCTATGTTTTCTCATTGATGAAAATTTAATACAGCACTAAAAATGTAGCCAACTCATAGCAAACTAACTCCATGTTTGCCATCAAAACAATATTGCACAAATGAACTACAAATTTACAATAGATGGATAAAACTAAATATACTGTGCATTGTGATGGCGCTGTAGCAAAAGTATACATGCTCTGAAAAGAACAGTTGAATTACATATTTTGACAGTTAAGTGACAGACCATGTTAACTTTTGCCAGAGTGTCATAGAAGCACTTATCACCTTGACAAGATAATAGCACCTCTATTGCACAAAAAGAAGTGAGCACTTGATAATTTATAATAATTTGATTTCAAGCAGAATGTGTCTGAAAAGTAAGACAAACTAAATTTCAACTGAAATCAATGAGATATCTTAAAGAGTAGCACACTATGGCAGATGGACATACATATCGCCTTTTTTAATCACAGCCTTAAAACAAAATAATTGAAAAAAAAAGGTTGAACAATTAAGCTGCCTCTCAATATTTTGGCCTTAAAAACAAACGTAAGGCAAACATAATTTTAAAGTAATGTGCATGTCTAAGTTAGTACAACAATATAGCTAATTTGACAATGCAAAAGTTGCGTTCTACAGGCTAAATTAACGTGTTCAGAGGGATTACTAGAAGTGTACTGTCTTAAACATGCACATTACATCAACAGTAATTGTTAATGTGAAATCACTAACTCCTGGCAAGGCTGGATGCAATACCACAAACAGCAACACAAGATCAGTACATCAAAAAATCATTCCTCCTCGTCATCCCCGGAAAAATGAATATAATATACACAGCATTACACAAAAAGGATGACAAAGAATTAGATCAGAAAAACCTGCATTAGAACAAACAGATGGATGAACTGTAATCACACGCCCAGTCATCAGTCTTCAGCACAGAATGCCATACAAGATAAATTTAACGCAATATTATATGACGATCTTCAACTTATAAGAAACCACTTTGGTAAAACCAAGGTACAAAGATTGATTATTTTTAAAAGTCAGAAAAGCTGTAAAAGTGTAGCTTTAGCGGAGGAGGGGGGAGGGGACATTGAAAATGCACCAGAGAACGGAGGAGACTAAACTGCCTGCAAACATGTGACAGCGACACAACTGACATCTGCAAGTAATTTTTATGTAATTACAAAACTTGGAATACTTTAACGGGGGTTAAAACATAACAGCCTGTTTAAATATCAGATATATTGTGGTCCCTAAAATATTTCTTTTCTTTTGGTAATTTTAAGTAAAGGAGCACAAGCATAAAAAAAAAAAAAAAAAAAAGAAGGGAGAAACATCTACAGCCGGACCAAGCCTACATTGAAAATTGACAACGCTATGCTGCTTACTCTGCACCCTACAAAGTTGAAGCTATCTTAGTGTGAAATGTTCACTTCACCAAGAAGCACATAGGAAACAAAACTTGAAAGTTTTGATTACATTACCAAACTTTCTAGAGAAACAGCAGAAAATGTTAGCAAAGGGGATAAACATGGTCTGTTGATAACACCATAAAAACTCTTGTTGAGTTTATACTCATACTCCTCTAGTACAGATTTTCACACTACACCACACACAGTATTACATAAAAAGGAAAAAGAATAATTGTGACAAATTTAAGACCAGCCAGTACAAAAATAAAATGTAACTCATAGCAACAGAAATATGAAGGTAAAGAAAGCACTAACTGTTCCCTCATTACTGACACCTCTCTTGATTGTACAGTGTGTCAGAGCTATAACACAACAGTCTTGCGGGTTGCATACCCTAGAGGCCATGGTGCCTTCCAAGGGGAGTAAGTAGGCAAACCCCCAGACTGTTGCGTTGTGGCTCTGACACACTGGTGTGTTTTCTTCTATTGGAACATATGTGATCAATCTATCAGTTGGTTCAAAGCCAAATTCAACAGCCTCTTAGCCTATCAACTAAATCACAAAATGATGTATGATGAAAATACTCTATTACAAAATGTAACTAGAACCATTAGGAAACTTGCAATTGGAAAACAGCTAACCCAAAACTACCTAATCAGGATCTAATTGTTTTTCCAAACCATAGCTGCATCATATACATAACACACAGCAGCGAATCAGAAGAATATGCCTCCTCTACAGTAATAAGTACCAGTTGAACACCATTTATTATTTCATTTTTTTGAAATATCAAAAACTGTTGAAGCTTGAAGATAGGCAGTTTTGAACCATAAATGGCATAAAACTGAAACCAATTTTGACTTACAACAATGTACCAACACTGATTTGAGTTCACTATAAAAAAAAAATTGCTCAGATAGGTTTATTGAAAGGCCAGGCATTTAGTGAACACAGCAATGTAAAGCAGTCTAAATCTCACATTTAAAAAAAAATAAATAAAAAAAATGAAACACCCTAATTGACCTTATGAATTTACCTAAATCAATGTTTTAAATAAAAGAGATCAGATGGATATCTAACATACATAGGTATTTTTACTAAGCATCACATCACCTATTATTGGATAGAATATCTGGAATAGATGTTAAATTTACTTTCTGCACATAGGAAAAGTATTAGAGGTAGCAGAAAGTATAAATTTCAAAGGCTGAACATAGCAACCCACTAAAAAAGGACAAGAAGTTTTTGAGATTCTTACTAAACTACAATAGATAATCATGAATCTATTAAGTACAAAGCAATCTTCTCCAGGAAGACTATTTTAATAAAATGAATGAAAGAAAGAAAGACAGATACCAACGGAGATATCAAATTGATTTAAGGTCGTAGCAATATTTTACATGGCAGTTTGTAGGATGTACTGCCACAATGAAAATGTTGACACGAACAAACTACAGTTATAAAATTATATCTGACTACAACAAGCATCAGATAACATTCATTTAGACAAAAAAAAAAAATTGAAACATTCAATTTAATGATAAATTTTTTCCTAAGTTAACAAAATAGGATGTTGACAACTTAACGAAAAAGGGATAATGAAAAGTATGCAACATATCTCTTCTAAATCCACAGCAGGATTTAGAATCGTTGCACACTTCACATAACAATGACATTTGAGTGCACTCAGCCACTGTATATGGTTTGACTAGTGCAATTACCATATGTGAATGCAAGCTCACAGATTTAGATTGATAGATTGAAAAGGCATCTTTTTAGCAGTAATACGTATACATTCAAGTGCATTTAATGCTGCCTCAGCTTTCGCCTCTAGTACTGTACGTCCCTGACCACTTACAACGACTATGGGGGAAGTAGATATCTGCAGCATCACTTGGATCAGTCCTGGGCACATAAAAAGCATATTAACGGTAATAAAAAATACTAAAGAATGTGTAAGTATAACGTTGGAATTGAAAAGAGAGTTGTAAATTAAACACACAGATTCTTTGCCATAACTCACCTGTAGGTGTTCTTGAATCCAGACGAATGTATACAATTCGCAAATTACGCCTCACAGCCAGCTCTTGAAGCATATCGATACATTTAGTGTGAGATGGCGTTTCTTGATAAAGTTGAATTTGTTGAGCCACCTACAACAGCCCACAAAACCGTTAGGAAAATGTCAATAAATCTATCATATTTCATGGGTACTTTAAGTCTGTTACAGCTTTGACGGAAGTACTCACAGACTTCTTAGGAGAATCTGACACTGGTTTGTACTCTACAGCTGCACTTGGCACCTGACCAGAATATCTCTGGCCCGATGATCTTTCTAACAATTGAAATAAAAGATTTCGAGCTGCTTCCCTCTTTGCAGCCTTCTTTGACTTCGCTTCACCTGAAAAGATCAGATGAGCAGTGGGTATCAGTGTGTCTAATATTATGTCCATTAGCAATGAGCACAACGTGTTGTATTAATGTTCTCTCTGCTTTTTTGATTTTAAACAGTTGAGTAAAATCAACAATTTGTACCTTTATCTTTGACATTATACAAGCGAACAGCAATGACAAATGTTCGCTCATGAGGTTGACCATTTTCACAACATACTGCATAAGACGGAAAAACCCAGCGCATTTTAGTGCATAGCTCTTGTAACTCTCCAACAGGGTTTTCCTCTAATCCTTTCATACTGAAAGTACAAGAAATCAACATTAGTGATATCCCCCTGATACTCTTTTGATCTTGATAGGAATATCATTGACATTCATCAAAGAAAGATTCAAAGACTCTACTTACTTAATTGGTAATTGGGTGTAAAAAGATCCTCGACTACCATACTGCACATACTGTCTACCCATTGGTCTGGAATAAATGTTTTCATAAACTGAAAAAGAAAAAATTCATATTTTAACAAAAAAACACACACAAAAAAAACAACAACAATTTCTACAAGAAATGTATCTATGGTAATTAGAAAATCTGATAGGACAAGAGCATACATGGATAAGTTTCATATGTGACTGTTATCACAAAAAGATTACCTTCGGGATCCTTTGTTGAGACACATGATACATCTTGGCAATAGGATGGGATTGGAGGTACTTCATGGTTGACTGTGTTAGATACAGAAACTGGAACCAAATCTAGGCATGGAGGCTGGCTCTTAACAACTGTAGTGCCCACAAGCGGACCAGGCGTTTGAGTTGCTAGCTGGAAAAGGTAGGAAGAATAACCAAAATATAAATCAGAAAGTTCACTTTCTTCCAAAGATGAAGAGAGGGTGTATTTGGTCTCATGAGGCAATGCAAGGATGGCCACATAAGCTGGGGCTGCCATAAGCTGCTGGTCAGATACTACGTGAAATCGATACAATACTGTGGTTGATTGACAGAGTGGCTTGCCAGGCACTAAGGCTAACATTATAAATAGTAGTGCACAAAGATTGGTCAACTATTAATGTTTCGCACACAACACCGAACAATGGGGAACCTTTATCAGTGGCAGTCCTACACTGAAAAGAAATGATCAACAACAGGTCAAATGCAACGGCTTTTAACAAGTGCACGTATCTGAGCGTTAATGGAGAAACTGTATCAAGTAACACTTGAAAATTACGTGATTTCACATGGAGGAGTTGCATCATAACCTTAATGTTGACAAACAATTTACCTCCTGCAAGACCTCCACAAACTACTAAAACCAAATCTTTACTGAAAACGTTAGTATAATTTAATGCAATTACATTATCCGCTTCAAAAAAGACTAATGAAACCTAGAAGCTTGAGATAAACGACCGGTAGACTACGTCGTGATGGGGTGCAGCACAAGAGGCGTCCCAGACATTGGCCCTTTTTTCTCGTGCCCTCACAGAAAGAAAATCGACATATCGGAAACTGGGGAGAGGTGTGGCTGCTACGTACCTTGCTGAGAAAATAATTTGCTCCTGGCATAATTTGTTTGGTTTCTTTTCGGTGTTACAAATTTTGGCCCAAAATAATGTTTGGGCAAAAACGTAAACACTGCCCTACTGCCGCTGCCGCTGCTGCTGCCGGAAACAATGCAAACCCGCTATGCGCAGCGCAGCGCGCCCGCGCGCGCGTTCGTGCGAATAGTCTGCGGCTCTTGCCTTGAGCGGATCTCTGCCACACAAACGCACACGCACACACGTCGTGCACTCCTCCACACAAACATTCAAGATGGCGGCTCTCCTTCGTTGGACTTAATCGACGGGCGTGAAGTGCAAGTTACCCGCAAGTGCGTGTGCGTCGCTGTCATTTCGAGGCACTTTGACAGCCGTGTCAGTCCGCGGACGCAGATGAGCTAAAGGACGTGACCGCGACGGCATGGAGAAGGTGCCGGAGCGGCCGGTCGCCGAGGAGCAGGCCGTGGCCAGCGACGAGGAGGATGACTCAGAAAACGGTCTCGATAACCACGAATGGCAGGGAGTGCTCAGCAAGTGGACTAATTACATCCATGGCTGGCAGGCTCGGTACGTTGTGCTCAAGGGCGGCACCCTCTCCTACTACAAGTCGAAGAAGGACATGAAACTGGGCTGCAGAGGCTCCATCAGTCTGTTCAAGGCAACAATCAAGGTACCATTTGTTTACATTTGTGTTCTGCCTGACGGGACTGTCATGTTGTGAGACAATTGTCCTAGTGATTTTTTTTCTCCCACTCCAGGCCCATGAATTTGACGAGTCTCGCTTTGATGTATCTGTCAACGACAGTGTCTGGTACTTGAGAGCTGCCACCCCTGAAGACAAAGTACATTGGGTTGATCTTCTGGAAACATACAAGGTTTGTTCGCTTAATCAACATAATTTCTCGACATGTGTTCATTCATTCATTTTAGTTGTAAGCCACTTTCTGTCAAATTTTTACGATGGTGTCACTTATTATGATCACATATTTACTGTCTTGTTAAATTGTAGTCTGTTCAGGTGGCTAGTGCCATTGCAACTATAAATAATCAAATACCTAATGAGTCTGTATATATAAATTGCTTAGAGCTTAGAGGTAGTTAGAAAACCAGCATCCTGTGACAGCAAACTGAATTTGTTAGTTCTTTTATTGAAGTTCCAAACATCCTTGTTTTGTGGTATCTTCATTGTTTAGGGCAATAGGCACTATTCCTTTATGTCTTAAGGATAGTTATCTTCCTGGTACATTGTTTTTTAAATGTTTTCGGAGATTGTGTTGTGGCCAGATGTGATATGTGCAATTTATTTTCTCAGGCTGAATCAGGATATGGTAGTGAAAATAGCCTTAAACGACATGGGAGTGCTGTATCTCTTTCATCCAATACACTCTCGACTGCTTCAACCAATAGTCTAAAAAAAGCCCGAGGTACAGTATGGTGTCTTCCAATTAACTTTTTTTAAAATCAGTTTAAATCCAGTCTTTTATGAAATTTTTTTGGTTGTTTATTAGGCTTGAAAGAAAAATTGTCAGAGCTTGAAACCTTTCGGGATATACTCTGTGGACAAATTGATACACTGCAAACATATTTTGATGAATGTGCACAGACTGCTAATGGAAATGAGCAAAGTAAGTGGCTATTTTTTTATTTAATTTTTTTATTTAATCAATTTACAATTTAAAAATATAATACAATGTTGATAAATAAACTTCTTGTTTTGTTTTATCAGGTTGTGCAAACTCAGGGACTGTCATTCAGTCAAGAGCAGTAGATTTCAAAGGTGAAGCAATGACTTTCAAGGCCACCACCACAGGAGTTCTAACCACACTTGAACATTGCCTGGAAATGGTCCGACAAAGTGAGGACTTATGGAAAAGGCGCTTAGAAAAGGAAGTGGAACGTCGTCGCCGTTTAGAAGAAAGCCTGAGAACTCTTCGTGTTCATGGACCTCGTTCAGCTGTTCATGCTGGGCCAGATTGTGAGGCAAGTCAGACCTGATTTATTATTTTTACTGCTGTGGAAATCCTGGACATTTCTTTCTTGTGGTTTGAACTGGCTTCTTAAATTACTTGGTAGAAAATTCTTGGTATCTTAATCATTTACCTGGATTGCACTTACACTCATTTTCCTTTTTTCCCGGCAAACAAAAATTACTGTGACTGTACTCTTCTTGAACCCCCTTTTTTTTTTTTTTTGTGAATGGAGGTGCATTGTCTTGATACAACACCTCTCAATATCCATTTCAATTGAGCTCTAGTCAGCCTGATTGCCACCGAGGTAATGATAGCCAATTTAACCAATTACCATAACTCATGCCCTCTTGTTCCCTGTTAATTAGGGGGCACACACAGGTCAGGCAGGCCCTTGACTCTGTTCTGCTCTGTCTGTTATCTGCTCTGTGTGCCGGGCCGGGTCGGGTGCGGCCGCTGGCCGCTGGCCGCCGGCCGCCCGCTCTGTGGGATGTGGGGACAGCTGATTCCACAGTGATAACTCGCTCTCTCTCCCTCTTCCTCTCTCTTCCCTCCCGCCCTCTTCCCCATCTCAACTCCTCTTTGTGGTGAGGAAAAGACAAATAGGCCTCCTACATTTTGGACTGCTACTGCTGAAAGTCATGTGTCTTGTTCTTGTTCATGTCAATGCTCTTGATGGATTAAAACATTAACATGCCAAGTTAATGGTTTCGATTTGTTTGAGATGCAGGTGCATTCTCTTGATCTCTTTCTCTTATTTCAATTTCATGAATACTTTTTTGGTCTTTTTTTGTTTGTTATCTATTATGCCAATCAAATTTGTCATTCCACTTGTTTGTTTATGCTATCCAGGAAGGACCTCATAGTACTATGAATGAAGATGAATTTTATGATGCCATGGAGACTGGTCTTGATAAAATGGAAGAAGAGGTAGAATATCGGCACCGTTTAAAGAAGCAACATAGTGTAATTGCTGCTTCTTCCACCACCAATAACACCGTAGCTTCTGCTCATCATCTGTGGCCTGAGGTTAGTAGAAATTGTGACAAAGTGGTTAAGATCTCTATTTCTTGAAAATCCTTTTATTATTTTGTTGATTTCGACATGGTCAATGGTACTTCAGATTGATCGTGTTACAATGGAGCAAATGCATTATGCCAGAATGAGTGTAGAAGACTCGGGCGGTGTTTGGCAACTGTTTGCTGAGGAGGGAGAAATGAAAATGTATCGCCGTGAAGAGGAAGTTGGGGGGATGGTCATTGACCCATTGAGGGCGTGTCATGTCGTCAAGGGTGTCACTGGCCACGAGGTTTGTGAATACTTCTTCAATCCCCAATACAGGCTGGAATGGGAAGGTAAATATCTATTCGGTTCTTAGATTATTTTAAGAACTGTCATATTTCAAACACCTCTTTAAAATATTCGTGAAAACTACACACAAATCCTAATATTTACTCTTCATTTCTTGTTTTAGCTACTGTTGAAACAACAACAGTTTTAGAGAAAATCGCTGATGATATCCTTTTATTTCTACAAGTTCATAAACGTATCTGGCCCGCAAGTCAGAGAGATGCTGTCTTCTGGTCACATATGCGTCATGTTCCTGATGATAAAGATCAGGATGGTCCACCTATTTGGGTTGTTGTTAACAACTCTGTTGACATTCCTGACTTGCCGGTAGGTTGTCAAAAATAAATAAATTAGGCTTTGCTGAATGTTTTTTAGTAGTATATTTTTTTATGTACTGTTGTACCTGTTAATGGATTACAATTCAGTCTCAGGTGTGACTGCTAGAGAGACTAATTCTAATTGCATTCTTTTTAATTGTATATTTAAAGGCCAATACTGGAAAATGTGTTAGACTGCTTTTGACAGTCTGTTTGATGTGTCAGACTTTTATTGACCCACCCAAAGATGGAGCAAAAGTCACTCGCAATGACTTGACTTGCAAGATTACTTACTGCTCTGTTGGTAAGTGTTATGTTAAAATTTTGGAATCTCTAAAATAACATTTCTTATCAGATGATTTTATAAGAACATTTATATTTCAGTAAACCCTGGAGGCTGGGCCCCACCTGCTGTCCTCCGGGCTGTCTACAAAAGAGAATATCCCAAATTCTTGAAACGCTTCACAAATTATGTAATTGACCAGTGCCAAGATAAACCAATCCTTTTTTAGATATACCTCTACTCTCTATGTACTACTGTATTTAGATCTATGTGAGTTGTGAATTTTAAGACTACATTTTTTTTTTCAAATTTTGTGAAGCTGTAATGAGTATTGCTTTCATAATGATTTGTGATTTAATGCACGGTAAATTTTCCACCAATTTAATTATAAGTTGCAAATGTACATAATTGAAAGAGACACGCACATGCACTTAGTCATGTCATATTCATCAAGTTGTCAGTTGCCCTGATGGCTTAAATATTGTTTATCAATCTTTAAACTTGCATTGTGCCATAATTTATGATATTTTAGTGTATTAGTATTTTTAATACTCGTTTAGATATCTGTGGAAAGTACTACCTATGTTATGGTTTCAGCAAAAGCATATTGAAGCAAAAATTTATGATTTACACTCCGAAGAGTGTTAATATCGAATATTAGCGACTATTTGTGTCTCTTGAAACACCAAATTTTTGCTACACAGCTTTTTATGCTCACTGAAGACTTACTTAAATCAGCTACCTCTTGAAACTTTAAATCTTAACCAACATTTTTTCCTTTCAATTGGTAGAACTTGCACAAACTCTTACCTGTTGATTCACTGCAGTTCTCATATTTTTTAGGTGTTTTATTTTTCAACTCGCTTAATTTTCTGCTAAGGTGGTCACTATGGGTAACAGCAACATCTGTGATAAAACTCTTTTGTTGGTTAATTAAATGAAAATTATTTTACATAAGATTGCTTTCTTTTCTGTAACTCATGTTATACTCTTAAATCGATACAACGTTGTTTGTGAAATCAATCATGTAATCTTGTTAGACACAGTGATTATTCCATGATGGTCTTATCATTTTGGACTATAGTTTTAGTAGTTTCATTTTTTTTTAAGAAGAAGAAGAAACGGGATCAATATTTTGAAAATCCCTATTTGAAACGTTGCCTTTACTTTTATCAATAAGCTTTTGGTTTAAAATTCACTTCCCTGAAATTCAATGTTAAGGTGCTATTTTCATCCATTCATGACTGAAAAGTCTGAGCGGAATCATAGAGACTGCCCATTGTTTGATCCGTGTTGAAGTTAATGTTCTTTCATAGCTATGGTTACTTGAAAAGTTTTTGAGAATATCCGAACTTAATAGACAAAAAGTTAGCTGTTTTTATAAGGATTTTAGGTAAAGACGTTTTTGACTTTAAAAGAAATCTTTTTATATATCCTGGTTTTTATTGGAACTATATATGCTGTGCTTTTAATTTACCAGCTGAAAGATTATTCTTCTGATGTCTAAATATAGTTTCGATAATTTAAATGTTCACTTTGAGCTTATGCTTAAACTTCCCTCTTGTCACTGGTTCTGCTTTTGTTTTGTTCGCCAAGCTCTTCTCTGCATTTATGCACAGCCATCCTACTCTGCAACCATCTAATCATATTTTTTTTTTTTTGATCAGTTACTTTCTGAAGGAAATCCATATCTAGCGGTATACTTGTTTAGAGGAGGGAGAGTCATGGTTAAAGGTCAATTTGAGAAACTGGGTAAATGGCTTCCTTATCTTTTGCTTTTTATTTTGTGTTTATTGTGTGCAACAACTCACTGTTGAGTTTGTCTCTGTACTTCACAATAATGTAAGTTTTGGTGGATTATTGATGTGATGAGAAGTTTCAACACTATTATTTACTTCATATTAAGGAATCTATATATGGTTTTGGTTCCTAAATATTTTCTAATAATGTGTAACATTCCGTAGGTTTTCTTGTGTTTTCTTTTTTACTGGTTATAAACACATCTATTTCTTTTCAGTCTCATCTTTCTGCAAGTCAAATGAGCTACTTTTCATTGATATGGATGTGACTCTTTTCGGACTGTTCATTACTTGTCTACCAACCACACTCTGCATATTACTGTGTGGTCATCTGACTGTTTAATCTAAAAGTTATGTTTCTGTATGATACATTTACCAATAATTCTGGCTTTATGGAAATCTTAATGTGTTAGGACTTGATCAGAACTGTGCTTCCTCTGTAGGTAGCGTGATAAAACAGTTATTGTGAAGAATTAAAAGTGCTTTTATGTAAATGACTGTTGTTGCTGTGGTTAATGTTATAGGGTGAAATAATAAAAAATCCCGTTTTACAGCAAGTGATCTTTTTCTTTTACATGCCTCGATGTTTTGTGAATATTACTATATGTGCAAGTAAATGTGTGCAAAGGCTTATCTCGAAATGCGAAAATATAGACAAAGACCGGAAATAAATATGCATTGGAAGTCCCACTCTCTTTGTTTATTTGACATAATTAATTCGTTAAATTGTGATAACCACCACAATTAAAAGTTAAACCTAATGTGTGTAATAAATACAAAGAGATAAAGACTGATTGCCCCACTAATAACTTAAGTGAAATAAATCTTTGGAATTGATATGGCATGTTTTATTTTGGAGAGGAATGTCAATTACCAGTTGGTAAGTGCAAAAAACAACAATATTTGATGAGATGTATGATATATCACAGAACCAATTAGCCACAATAGGTAAAAGATGAATTAAATTACAGCTTAAATGAGGAAAATCCTTAAAGTTACTTAGGAATTAAAATGCATACCACATTGTTTGAGAACAATCGATGGAGATATGTTAGTGAAAGGTACTCAGTAACTGATGTGATAGTTTGGAATCATTGGAGTAAGTAATCTTTGCCTACATTTTGAAATCAACAATTTTGCCTCCAGAAGTTCAGTGTTCAACTGAAGAAAATGCAACACTGCACTCAAATGCATGGAAGACGGCACCAGTATTCAGGATTGTTGCATCACTAAGACCAAGCTAAAGTATAAATAAATAAAATCCATTAACTGTGGCAATTTTCGTTGAAAAGAACTAGATTGTCTTAACACTGACGCCCTCCATGCTGGAAGTAGTTCGGATGGGTATGTCTACTAACGGCTGATCTGAGACAGGTGACGAGAGCTTTGGGTAATAGTGGCAGTAGCTAATGTAAGCACAGAAAAGTCCAAGAGCAGACCCGCACGCAACGTCCTGCCAATGGTGGTGGTAATCACAGGTGCGACTCAGGGCAATCATCAGAGCAGAGCAGAGTGGAGCGAGAGGGGCGACAAGCTTCCAGGCGTGGGCCTTCCCTTCGCGCGAAAATGTGTGCAGTTTGCCAGCAATATACAATGCAAGGAATCCTAAGCCAGCAAATGCCCCTGAAACAACATTAAAACAGCATGAGTTCAGTCCATATTTCAGAATGAATTGTGTTGAATGCTGTATCTGTATGACAGACTCACAAGATGAGTGTCCGCTGGGGAAGCTTTTGCGACCTTCCTGCACGACATTCATGTCCCCAGTACAGCTCAGGTTACTACTGACGACACCATCGGGATAACATCGCCAAAAGAAATCGGGTCTTGGACGACCTAAGGGCATGAATGATTTTGTTGACAAGAGATACTGAAGAACGTTCAGGTCACCACAGGGTAGGAATACTCACCAACAATGACCTTGATTATATTGGTCAGGAGAGCATTCAAGACGCAACCCAAGGAACATGCCAGAAAGCCTTGTAAAGCATCCGATTGCTTCCGTTTTGCAAAACTCACACACAAAATGACTGCAGTTGGTATCCCCAAGGACATAATCTAAAAGAAATTTAATGGACAAATGAAAAGTTATTGGAACTACTTCTCATAAAATTAATGTACCTGGATAAAAAAATTTAAAAATAGAAAAATTTGTAGAATGTTTACCCAGAGCGTAGTTGTTGTAACATAACTGTCAGTGCGGGGATTCTTGTAGAGCCAAAGTTCATCCGGCTGTATCTTTCTGGTAAACGGACGAACTTTATCAAAATATCTGAAAATGTTAAAGGCCACCGGTTAGAAGATGTTAATTAAAGTATCGGGAATTTCTTTCACTTATTGACAGCAGGGCATTAGCAACGAGCGGAGCACTGGGTGAAAGTTGATTTTATTTCATTTTCTTTACACTTTTAACTTACAGCGCAATAACGCCGATCACCAAGCGTATCAGTACTTCTCCCAGAACATTGTTCATCACGACAAAACGTTCCAGGTTTCTATTTTCGACTAGAACAAAGTGGTTTGCTTACACGTTGCCCATAACGTATACGTCAACGGGAGCAGCTGATATGCCACGAACGTCGTCTGCTCTGTTTTCTTTTTTATCCGCAGTATAGACGTGACATTGTGCGAATAGAGGTGTTGCACTAAAATCTGGAAGGTGGAGGAAAAGAATGCAGTAATTAAGATCTGATAGTCCTCTTGCCCTCTACTCGCTCGTTGAAAATCTATGACAGTTCGATCAGCGTGCTGCCTATGTTGAAAACTGTACCAATTTTAATATCCCAATTTGAAACGCTTCTCCAATTTGAAAGTGGCGCGCTCGGACGTTGAATCTGCTTTTGTTTCCAGACTGGATGCTTTTCTTCTGCTAGGCTTTTGTAAACAAACCCGAAAACCTGCGTGCTCCAACATTAAATCGTCTTGTACGGAAAGACATCCGCTGAACTTGAAGGCCAGAATCGCACTGTGTACGAAAATCACGAGACATTTACTTAAAATCGTATCCGAGATAAGCGTCGACTCAAAAAGCCCCTGTTGGCAGACGGCCGAGGCGAGCTGTCAGCCTGGCACACGTCTGTCCCAGCATGCTCTGCGAATGACGTGTCGGGAGAGTGAGTGCGCGACGACTGGAATTTCTACATGGCAAGTATACCGATTTTCCGAACGATTGTTCGCCTTGACCCGGAGCTGTCGGTCTGTTTTTCGGCAGGTCGCTTTGACATGCACTCCGTTATTTGTCTCGTGTTGTGATCAGCAGGGAGCTTCGAGTAGAAGTGTCTAAGTAAACAGGGTCCGACTGCCTACGCCTGCCTAGGGCGCCCAGACACTGCGCCAGTGATGCGCAGCGCCCGTCCTGCCGCGATGCCGGCTCCAACCCTTTTCGTGGTCCTCTGTGCCCTTCTGCACGTCTCTCACGCGTTCTACCTGCCAGGACTCGCCCCCGTCAACTTCTGCAAGGCAGAATCGGAGGAGACAAAGTGCAAGGTAAATGATTGAAATGGTGTTTTTGGCAATGTAGTACTCTTCTGTCAATCCAGTGTAACTTTTATCCAGATCAAATGTTTGCCAAGCTGTTTTCCTCGTGAAAATCTGTATCTTTCAATATTTGGTTATCAATGTCTCTTCTGTGTATTGCTTGCAATGCTGCTGTCTAGCATTTTGTTTAGTCAATGGATGTTTTCATAACCTATGTTTACACTTGCAAGCTCTTCTTACATCAAAATAATTTTACTGCAAAAACATAAACAACGTTTTCTTCTGTCAATTTTAATTTACAATCTTGAACCATCTTTTACAGTCTGATGTCACTCTCTATGTCAACCGTTTGAACACTGATGAATCTGTTATTCCTTTCGAGTACCACCAGTTAGTATCCATCTCTATTCTGTCAGTGTAATTATGTGTGTATTGTGTTTGATTTCACTCTTCCTACATTGCTTGTTTCTTTCAGCTTTGACTTTTGCCTTCCTGAAAATGAATATGACTCTCCTGTTGAAAATCTTGGGCAGGTGGTATTTGGCGAGAGAATCCGCCCATCACCATACAAGGTATGAATCTGTATAAATCCCCTTCTAACTGCAGCAAGAGATATGAAACCACAAGTGAATAATGCCCTGTTTTATGGTTAATTGTAAATTCTGTTACAGATAAAATTCCTTGAACCTATTAATTGTTCAGCTGTGTGCAAGAAGACTTATCACAAAAACAACAAAGATGAAATGTCAAAGCTTCTACTTTTGAAACGTGGTATTAGCCTTAATTACCAACATCACTGGATTGTTGGTGAGTAGTCCCCTGCTCTTTACACGTGCACTCTACCTATCTAACTCTAGGCACATGACATTGAATTTTTCTGTTCTCCTTACAGATAACATGCCTGTCACTTGGTGCTACTTTCTGGATGAAGAACGTCAGTATTGCAGTGAAGGTTTCCCTATGGGCTGCTTTGTCAAAGATAAGCGGGGCCTATCTGACCTGTGTACTATCAGCGTTAGTATTTTCTTTTTGTCCTTTCTTGTCATCCGTCACAGTTACATTAGTTTTATTTTATCCTATGTCACTGTGGTAACCTTGAATTGTAAACTGTCTATTTTGTTTCATTACAGCCTACATACAACAAGCCCAATACATACTATCTGTTTAATCATGTTGATCTGCTGATTACTTACCACAGCGGAAGGAATGAGGACTGGGGAACTGAATTTGAGGCCAATGGAGGTCGCATTGTTTGTGAGTGCCTACATCACCTTAGAATTTGTCTTATTTCAAGGGAAATTCGTAGGGTTGATTTAGAAGTTATGTTTGTTTTCAGCTGTCAAAGTCACTCCACGAAGCATCAAACATGAGAGTATGAATCAACTGGAGTGTAATCTGGATAAGGCTAAACCTCTAGAAATTCCATATGGTGATCTTACTGATGATCTAGAAATCATCTATTCCTATTCAGTTAGATTCCATGTAAGTTTTTGCCATTTCACTTCATTTTTGATACTCTTTAAAAATGAATTTTTTAGTAACTTACCCAGAATATCACTTTTTTCTTTAGGAAAATAACACGGTGAAGTGGTCATCAAGATGGGATTATATTTTGGAAACTATGCCGCACACAAACATTCAATGGTTTAGTATCTTGAATTCTCTGGTCATTGTTCTATTCCTCACTGGTATGGTAGCAATGATTCTTCTGCGAACATTGCACAAGGACATAGCAAGGTACAACCAAATGGATTGTGGTGAAGATGTTCAAGAAGACTTTGGTTGGAAGCTAGTTCATGGCGATGTGTTCCGCCCACCTCGGAAAGGAATGTTGCTAGCTGTGTTCCTTGGTTCTGGAACACAAGTCTTCTGCATGGTTCTTGTCACTCTTGGTTTGTATTTTGTTTTGATTTGTGTTCAATTTTTAACTCTCCATCATTTTAGGAAAATATCCTCATCTACTATTGAGTGGCTGATATTTCTATTTCAGCATTTGCTTGTATGGGCTTTTTGTCGCCCGCTAATCGAGGAGCTCTCATGACATGTGCCATGGTGCTTTTTGTTTGGTTGGGCACTCCTGCTGGTTACGTTTCTGCCCGAATCTACAAAAGTTTTGGCGGAGAGAAATGGAAATCAAACGTACTCTTGACATCCATGCTTTGCCCAGGGTCAGTTAGATTTTTATTATTATGATTAAAGTTTAAAATTTGTTGATTTTGTAAAGAGTTAATTCTAATTTTAATAATTTCAGATTTGTATTTGGTCTCTTCTTTGTCATGAATTTGATTCTGTGGGCCAAAGGAAGCTCAGCTGCTGTGCCGTTTGCTACACTTCTGGCTTTACTGGGATTATGGTTTGGAGTATCTGTTCCTCTCACTTTTGTAGGAGCTTATTTCGGTTTCCGGAAAAGGGTTAGTAATTCTGAGAGCAACTGACACCCTTTGGATCTGTTTTAGATAGAAACTATCATTTTATTTCCTCTTATTACTTTTTTCAGATTCTGGAACACCCAGTGAGAACAAACCAAATTCCTCGTCAAATTCCTGATCAGAATTTGTATACTCGCCCTATTCCTGGAATTATAATGGGTGGCGTCCTTCCATTCGGTTGCATATTTATTCAACTATTTTTTATTCTGAACTCTATTTGGTAACAACAATACACTGACATCTAAATTATATTGTTTATTTGAATTCCAGTGCTAATAGATGATGTTTTACTTGAAACAGGTCAAGCCAGACGTATTATATGTTTGGCTTTCTCTTCCTTGTTTTTATAATATTAGTCATCACTTGCTCTGAGACGACAGTTTTGCTGTGCTACTTCCATTTGTGTGCAGAGGTAAAATTGATCATTAATCTTCCATTGATTTTCTGTGTCTTGTCAGTCATTCTGACTATATGGTTTGCCTTCTAATTGCAGGATTATCATTGGTGGTGGCGCAGTTTCCTAACTTCTGGGTTCACATCATTTTATTTGTTTGTTTACTGTATTCATTATTTTGAGACCAAACTCAATATTGAGGATCCAGCTTCAACCTTCTTGTATTATGGTTACACCCTTATCATTGTGTTCCTTTTCTTCCTGCTCACAGGTAAGCCAATGAAAGTTTTGATTGATTTGTTCTGTCCTCAAACTGCTGGTTTTACTCATCATACAATGCATTTTTTTAACAGGAACTATTGGATTCTTCGCTTGCTTCCTGTTTGTAAGAAAGATCTACAGTGTAGTAAAGGTAGATTAAGAAAAGTATATCTCTCCAACCAACATTGCTTCTGGATGTAAATCCAAACAGCGATGGATCTTCATTTCTGCCATGTGTGGACATTAACATGATGCAGGTGCACTATTGTTTTAACAATGTCAGTACTGAATGGCTTACCAATACTTTTCCTTTGTTATTTATTTTAATTTTGATGAATGTTAGAGAAACCTGCAATTCATTGTGGAGTGCAACCTGTAGAAGCATGAGTTTCTTATGTTGTGTTCTTTAGAACAATGCCATTCTGAAATTCTACCAACCAATCGTCTATTCACAACCATACCATGGTTGTTTACATTGTGCTGGCATCAAATCTGTATATTAACTTTTACTATCCTTAGTATTCTTCTGCTCAAGTCCCGAGAATGATGTGATAATTTTCGCAAGTCTATTTAATACTTCTGCATGTAGGTTTTATATTGGACATGTACAGTGTGACCCATTGGGAACATGTTTTCAGTTTGTGTTTTGAACCTTTAATTAATCGTCGATTGTTGAGGAACATTCATTTTCTTTTCTAAAGAGCGCAAACTAAAAAAGAACAAGAAAATTTCAGTCAGTGTTACTGTCTTTACTTCACATAATCATGTGATATTTTTTCTCTTAAATGGAGCACTACTAATCAAATGTTATCAAAACTGGCACGAGCCTTTGAAATGACTGGATGACCACTTCTTGGAAGATCTCTTCTTTGCTTTAGAAAAGAAATAAAGTTTTCAGTATATTTTTCCTAATTCATTATTGGCTGTTGGCTACCTATTTCAGCCTTCAATTTGAATCAGGCATCCGGTATGTCATATTTAGAATTGTACGAGGAATTAAGATTTTGTACTCATGCGGATGCGGATTGTCAAGGATTTATCTATCTTATTTTTAGGTATTTTTTTTTTTTACTTCCAATCAAGTCTGTGACCTATGTTAGTGTTAACTAAGTGAAAAATGGGGTTCAGAGAAGAGTGACATTTATTTGACTATGATGTAATAGCTCAAAATAGGTTATTTGACCTTTTTGAGAAATGTAGCTTTAAATAAATCTTACTATTTGTTTTAAACTTTTAGAGAAATACGACACCATTATCGAGCTTAGTTTGTAAATTAAAATAGTTACAGATTTTCTCAAACAGCTTACCTTTTTTTTTTCTTTTCCTTTTAGTTCTATAACTCTGCAAAGACTTAATTTATTGTTTGAGATCTGGTCTTGTCGCAGCAAAAATCTGGTTTCATTCAGTGGTTTTGCTTTCGACTGATTGCTGTGTAATTGAATTCAAATTACTTATTATTATACCTCTTTTCGTTCGATGCTGGCAGTATTCCATTACTGTGAGCAATTTGTTTTTCCAGTCCTATAGTTGTTGGAACACGACTGATTTAGCAAGCTGTGTCTTGATGTGATAGTGGCATTTTGGTTTAGTTTCTTCTTGTTTTGTTTTCAAGGGCAGTTTTTTTTTTCAGTTTTCTTCTTGTTTTTTGTTTTTTTTTCTCTTCAAAATTCCAATTCTAATTTGATTTGATTTGTAAAATTACCAGAAATGAAAGGCTTTAGTGTGAATATTAAAAGTGACTTTCTTAACATTATTTTATCTTCAGATTGATTATTTCTTGTTTTCCCAAACTATGAAATTGTTGGATCTAGGTATTTGTACCATTTACTTTTGCCTTAAAATGTAACACGAGTCAAATTTTGATGCTGAAAGGCCCAGGTATTGCCAAGGTTTAGACGGGCTTAAATTATCAGCAAGAGCATTCCTTTTAGTTTGAATTTGTAAGTCTTTCGAGTGCATATGAATATTTAAGCGTGTATTGCAAGTTTACTTCTATATGTGGTTATCAGATTTCCACAAGAAGTTGCAATTCATGTAAACCACTAAGAATACTTTCCTGTCGTATATTTCAGCATACTAGGTTTATCTACTATGACAATTAAAAATTCACAACGTCTACATACAATTGAACAGAGTTTAGGAAATGGGTGACTAGCATTTGGAGATTTCTGTTTTACTGGCGTGAGGTGAGGTGAGCACTGAACGGCACTGATGAGCAACAGTTGGGCAGCCTTTGCCCGAGAACTGGATTCCTCCCAGCCTGCGTTGTGCTTATTAACATCATTATTTCCGCCATAAGGTAACACTGCTGCTCCCCAGTTGCACTGCGATGGCATCCTTCAAGATGATGACACTATTAATTATGGAGGTCGAATCGGCGCAATAGACGACTTGCTCTATGCAAACCCGGCATTTATTTTTATTTTTATACAGTTTCTTTTTTTAGCCGTCGCCCTACTCGATATGTTTCTTTTCTACTACTACATTCGCCTAGGGCAAGTCGTGTATGTCAACCTGGATCGAGTTGTCGTGCCAGGCCGGGAGCGAGCCGCCCGGGAAGGAGGTGCGAGGAATGGCGCACACCCGAGTCGGCGTCGGACCGTCGTCGTCGGAACAGAGGAATCGACGTCGAAACGATGTCGTTTTGATACTCGTCCCGGCCCCGGCGGCGCCCCAGCCGCCCCGGCCCGGCGCCGAGCCCCGACGGGTTGCCTACTCGCCGCGCGGGGAGTACGCCGCCGCCGCCCGCTGCTGATCCTGGTCCTGGTCGTCGACGGCCAGCTTGTCGACGGGGGCGCCGGCCGGCGCGGAGGACCGGCGCCGGCGGAAGGACCTGAGGGCGGCCAGTCGGCGCGGCAACGGCTGCGCCTGCTGCGGCTGCAACACATACACCACCACCACGTTGTACTTACACCAAGTGTCGCAAGTGTCGCACAAACCCCAGTAGAGCACCATCGCCTTTTTGGCGTTTAAATCGCGCTTTTAGAAGAACAAAATGAATCAAAAATCGCGAAATGAGTGCCAAAGAAGCGATGGTGTTCTACTGGGGAAAGTTAAAGGCACTAGATTTGTTTTTGAGGGGGGGGGGGATAATTGCAGGGTGCCAACGGAACCCACTGTTTTGTCAAAATGACATCAAGTGATGTTTTAGTGGTCGACGTCACTTTGATCTCCAAGGTACAGCGGCTTCGCGTCGCATCATCCTGTATTTTTTATTTTCTTGAAATCCCCTCCTCTCTATCAGTCCCACGGCACAACGGGCGCCGCGGCAGGCACCATGGGTGCAACTGGCGCAAACTCTACGCTTGACTCATCGCAATCTATCTATTAGCGCGGCAACGCGGTGCGGGCAGGACATATGCACGCTTAAGACGATAAGGGCCCACGGGTTGTCGAGGACGCGGCGTCGAGGAGTTATTCATCTTCAGCACCAGAGCACGCTTCTTGGGAACGGGAAGCTCTTTCTACAGTACTTTTACGATGGGACTCGTTTAAACCAAAAACGGAATAACCGCCGATAAGCGCCTAAATGTATAAAGGCAACTCTGTCCTTCCCCATCTGTGCGCCCCAACCGGAAATGCACCGATGTTTATACCAACAATCAACGTCGACGTTGAATCAACTATATGATGTAAACCATTGATATGGTCCGAAATTCAACGTAACATCGACGCCGATTCAACGTTGAGTCGACTTTCAAATTCCGCCGGCTGTGTGCTGTGTGTATCTTGACATGGAGCAAGCGCTTATGCTTTGTTTGTATACGCGATGCGATGCCACTCTCTCGCGGGTCGTCAACGAGTTTGGCCTTGACTTTGGTTGCGGGGCGTCTGCTGGGTGTGTTGCCTACTCACACGGCGGCTGGTGGCGGTGTAGATCGTAGATCACCCCAC